GTATAAATTTTTTTTTATTTCTCTTAAAATAAATTACTTGAAGCTGTGATTCCAGGTTATATTTTACTGCTTCGAATCTCAAAAGCTTAGAAATGTTGTAGTTATTATCCAATATCGATCGACTTCGGAGGCATTAAATACAGAAGAAGAAACGAAGACTTAAATAACAAGATGTTCCTTGGATGCAAATTAAACTTTACTCTTTCATTGACTGTTTCAATTCCTTTGTGACCAAGTTCAATTAAATCCGTACTTTTGTAAAGTTTTTATGTAGCTCGTAACACTGAAATTAGCATTTTAAAGTGTTTGAGAAAAATAAAATCAAATTAATCCTTCGTTGAAACAATCGCAAATACCGAGATTTATTAAAATAGCTTCGCGCTTAATATCAAAGTTGCTTTTATCGTATTTTTTTTTTAAAAAAAATTGTATTAAAAAAAGTGAAAATTTATTTTTATTTCGAATTTAAAACAAAAAAAAACATGAAGTTATTGTTTTTTTTTCTCTTAATTCTGCGAATGAACAAAAATAAAATAAAAAAATGATAATCTGGTCAATCACAAGATGGATAAATTCTGTTTGTCATCAATTTAAGCTAATTTTTCTTTAATTTCCATTCCATAAAGATAAGAAAACTTTGACAACCAATATATTTTCAGTTTATATAAAATAAAAAGGTTTTTTAAAGTAACAAATAAACTTATATATTTTCGTATCACCTAGGACCATGCAGTATTTTGGTTCAATTTTATAAATAATACTTTTTACCCTCTTAAATGGGCAGAGTTTACGTTTGATGTTCTTATGAGAGAAAAATCCTTATTGCTGCTGAAATAAGAAAATAAAATAAAAGCAATCCACTTGTAATCACGTGTTTTCCCAATAAAACCAACTATAACCTTTAAATTTGTATTGTTTCAGTGATGAATAGTTTTATAATTAATATTATTTTATTTTTTTTATATTTAATTATTATTAGTAATGACGCGTGAAATAAGTTTAACTCTTTTTTCAATATATTCCATACAATTTATTTTTATCGAAAATTGAAATGAAATAAAATTTTCTCGGAATTTATTGACCTTATCATATACGTATAAGCTTCTATATATCCCCAGTTTATTTTAATACATAAAAATTAGGAGTTTCTTTTCCCTAAGTTTAAAATTTGCTAGTTTGTTTCTGTGCGATTGATTATTATTGGGGGTTGGACTCAGTTATACTTGTTAAGCACTTTCATATTGAGTAATTTGAAACTATTCTCTTAATTCTCGTGGCTAAGAGAAAAACAGGTAGTAAACACAGAGTTTCGCATAGATTGTAGTTAATAATAGTGGTTATTAAAATATTGTTTCCAAAATCATTACAAATCTCATTTACAAGCTTTCTAAAATTATTTTTAAAGTTTATCTACAAAATATTTAATACAAGAGCATATATATTTAAATAATAACTGAAATCAAGTAATACAGCTCACAGCTTTTTTGAATTCTGTCACAATTCACTCACAAATGTAATCACTTCTTTGTTTATTTACATAAACTTTTGCAAAATATCTATTACCATGAATGCAAGAAATTATAGAATTACATGGAAAGTTCTGTAATTGTAAACAATACCAGGCGTTTTCAGGCAAAGCATGAAGATTGAAAGTTATCATAGTCTTTGCCAAGTTATTAGTATACATATAACGCTTATAGATATTCTGCAAAAAGACAAATACTTTTTAAGTAATGTATAAGGAATATTGTATACTTTGTATTTTTATTTTATCGAGAGCCTGAAGGATTTTCATTAGTTGTTTTACAATGTCTTAGTAATAAGAGAAATAATAATCATTGCATAGGTAATTTTAGCCATTTTTTTTACTATTACTAAGCATTCAATTGAAGCTGGGATTCGTACATTTCAAACGAGATATACATTACAACGTCTCAATGATTCTTTGTAATTTAAAACGAACAATAAATTTGGAATGCTATAAGCTATCCTCTTTTGATTTTTTTAAAAATGTAGTTAAAGTTATTTATGAAATTCGAATGCACGAGAATTACAAACAACTAAATAAAATTTATAAAAGCTACCAAAGGAACGAATTAAATTTATGATCCATGCGTAGGAAAAATTGAAATAACATGCTAAAAGTTAGATTAAATATAGTTAAATTAAATTTGAAAAAATTAATTTATTTTATTCAATTAAAAGGATAAAAATTCTTAATTGATGTTTTAGTGTAATATTATTAAGTTCGAAATTCAAAATACAATTATTATAAGGTTCTTCTCAACTAGGCAGATTCCTACTAATGTCATATAAAGTTTAAACATGCGTCATCAAACTGTTAAAAATCCATTACCAAGCAAGTTTATTTAGCTAAATAGAATTTAATTGCCGAATCACGCAATTAATTATCAATTTAGGCAAGGATAACAGAAGTTTTATTGCTTCTATGGGATGTTGGCCTTTCAGAAACAAGTTTTGAAAGCAGATTTGATAATTATCTTTAAATTGCTTATGGTATTCCAATTTCTTTTATCACTGATTAGGAACATAATTTAGTTAGAGAGAGATATTTTTCTTAAAAAAATTTTATTTCATTAAAATTGTATTTAAACTGATTAAATATAAATTGCTATAAAATAATATTTCATTATTCGGGTTTTTTTCCAAGTTATATAACTTCAGAACTCCGATTAATTAAATTAAAAATAATTGATCTTCAACGACGATTTTGCAAACATTAAAAACACATTTATTGCAAGAATATTTTTGTCTGCTGTATTATTAAGGACGAGATTGATAATTATCTTCCAAAAATCAAAAATTTAAAATGAAAATTGCATTTATTTCGTTTGAAAAAAGTTTTATTAATGTAATGCCAAAGCTCCTTTTTTTACTAATCTCGTTACTGTATAAAACTCTAATTCTCTTGTAACTACTTTTGTAGTCACAAGTTACAGCAGTTCAGCATAGTTCATTACCTCGTATAATATTTTTATTCAATCGAAAATGTTCCAAAGTATCCACATTAAGATATATTGAATATCATTCAATAATATTACTGTTTTTGAACTTCATGCTTGAAAAACGGAAATTAAAGTTTTTTTAAAGGTTGTATTAAATAAAACGTCCACTTTTCTAAGTAGATATAGTAGATATTTGGATTTTTTTAAGAAGTTTCAAAGAAATCTTTCAATATTAAATTTTATTATTTTTGTTCCATGGGATGAAGTCCTTATCCTTCTTTATTATCCCTTTCTTCGAAAATTTGGTCGATCATAAATGCAGTGTATTTGTTCAAAAAAACTATTATATTCAGAAATGCCATGATTATAATATTTTTATTACAAGCTTATTGGATGTGCAAATTGGTATCCTTAATTTAAATAAAACGATAATCAGAAATAATGAAGTTTTAAATAGCAGAAAAAAAGGCTCGCTTATACGAAACATGTCTATATGAATCTCGTCTACACAAATCTCGTCTAAGAGAATCGAATATCGGGGAAACTTTTCAATTTATGCAGAATTCCTTGTCTTCACATTAACGTAATCTTCAGAGATTCGATTTCCATGTCCATACAATCCAACGATATATTTTCAACTTGAGAATTTGACTACGGAGATTTTACGGAGTTTGCCATAATTTCAACCAGAGCTTCGCAACGAGAGAAATTTGTTAAAACCATAATTTATATTTTCAATTTTTTTTTACTTGAGAAATTTTATTGCAAGTGCAAATTGCATATAAACGTTTCTCATATATTAATAATTTTGCCAAATATAAAAATAAGTAAATAAAAGGAAAAGAGAGAAAAACCGAAGAAAATTAAAAAATAATCTCCTTCTTCGCTTCTTATTATTCTTTATCGCGAGCTTTAATTGTTGGCGAGCGCGAGCGAGCAGGGGGTGAAGCCTCCTAGTATATATATATTTAGTTAACAAAGTAATTCTAAATTAAGACATAAAATCAGCTGAACGATTTCATATAGAATTTAATTACATTAGCTTGATAGACATTGTTCTTTTATTAAATTTTGTAATAGTTCATCTATTTTATTACATTACAACAATTCATTTTAATTCCGTTCATATAATTAAAAATGGTATTTAAAAAATTTTTTTCGTGAACATTAGAATTCCATGTGTAATCAGTTTATTTATATTGAATTTAAAATTATTTCTTTTATCGTATATATCAACAATGAAGATAGTTTCATCTTTAATAATTCTTAATCCAAAAAATTAAAATTAGCATTATTGTCAATATGAACAAACAAAGTTTAATTCCTTAGAGCTAATAAGTTTTGATTAAATTGTATAATTTTGAAAATTAAAGGTAATTAAATTCACAATAAATCTAAAAGCAAATTTAATGTTAAGAGTAATTTTTTTTCACAATAGAGTAAAAAAAAGTTAGGTAACAGTGATGGGTAATTATCCTTGTATATATATATATATATATATATATATAAGCATAATTTTTCTGAAAATGATTTTTAGCGTTTCAAACAATATTTGACACGAAAATAACATCATTTTTAATGTTTTATTAATTATAAGAGAGAAAATAAATAAATAAATAAAACTTTTTAAAAATTTTACTAAGACTATTTTTTTTCGCATTTAAGATAAACATTTATTGTTTTATCACCAAGCATAAATTTTTTAGCAACAAGCATTTTAGCAACAAGCCAAAAATTTCTCACTATTTACCCTTACATCAACTACAGATTGATGTCGGAAAATACAGAAACCAGCTTTACCTTTGATCTTCAATTTCATGGATTTTTACATCTTGTCAGAGACTAATATAGTTCCAATGATATAATATATTTTCGATGACCTTCTTTAAAGTTATTTATTACATTTGATTTGCAAACATTTTTGCATTTAAAATATTATTTATTTAGGCAATTTATACTTTTGTTTAATTATTTGCCTTCAATATTTATTGTATTTTTTGAAATATTTTTATCGCTTGAGAAATGAGCAAAACGTTATATAAAGAAAAAAAGAGGCCTAATCACGCTTGGAACTAACACACAGAGATATAACACATACTTACGATAAACTTTTAGTGAAAATTGAATCCTTGTTTCTCTTCCATCTACAACGGCAGAACAGGTGAAAATGCCTTGGTCTTTGTAACGAACATCTTCAACTACAAGTTGAAGACCTAAAATATTGTTCGGGGACGGCTCCACGTGCACGCTGAAAGAAAGAAATCCATTTGAATTTGTAAAAGTTTTGCTCAATAACGTAACCAAAAATAAATAAGTAAACAAATATAATAAATAAAAAAATAAGAAGAAAAAAAAGGAAAATTAAATACTTAGTAAGCATCTAAAAATTGTATTAAAAATGCATTATCTAACAAAATTTTTCCCAAGTAGTTTTTGCATGTCTGTATTTTATTCCGTCTATATTATAGAATTTTAATTATTTCGCTTAGGTGTTCATTTATATGACGCCCGGTGGCTGAGCTGTAGCGCTTCGTTCCTGGTTCGATCTTCAGGCCGGGCAAGGTTGACTCAGCCTTTTATCCCTTCAGTGGGTCTATAAATGAGTACCAAGCATGCTTGGAAACTAAACACTGGGGGTTCCGCGTTCGGCTGACCACCTGACCGGAACATCTGCTTCTGCACCCCAGAGCCCAAGGTCAGGAAAACTGAGATGGGCACAGTAGGCCTTGGCCCTCTTGGGTTGTCGCGCAGCTGAGTTTTGTTTAGTTTAGTTCATTTGTATATCATATACTAAGCAATATTATATTTTATAAAGTAATACTATATTTTATTTTTAAAAATTATTTTTAATTTTACAGTGTTATTTTTTATACATCTTTAAATATTAAAAAATTTATATTCGTTAAATATCTACTGAAATATTTCTTATGAAGAAATTTACATTCAAGAAATTACGATAAAATTTTTAACAGCAGTATGCCCATCCAACTAACTGTGAAGTTTACGGTAAAGAACATTTTATCAATTTACGGTTTTAAAAAAGTTTAGAACTAGCATGGTTAAAAAGCATAAATGAAAAACTCTGCTGTTTTTCAACCATTTGCAACTAGCATGGTTTCAAATAGAAATTTAACTGACCTTGGAGCTAGGCTTTCTGTTAGGTAATAGGCATAAGTGTTTAGTTTTGGTTGATTTGTATTAATCAAATGAGTCGTGAAATGCGGTTTAGTTAATTTAATTTACCTGGTTGTTTTACCTATCGTAAGATACAGAAAATACTAAACTTTTTTGTGCCACGCAGCCCCATGGTTTTGCCATATATGCGTGAGAGTATCGTATTTTAATAATCCAGTGTCACAAATTTGGGTATGCAGGACACAGGAAACTTTTTAACGTTAAAGGGAATGGGAGTCAACGCTGGGACGCGAACCCCTGTTCTTTCGGTCTTGAGATTGACAGATTAGTCCTCTCGGCTATATTATCTACAAAATTGCGAGGAGTTAAATGGCCTCATTAGGTGGGCCTAGTTGGTGCAATAAAATCCTGGTTGCTTAACCTTTTTAGGGGCAGGCTGTTGATAAACGGTTTTTTTTCACAGTTTGAATACCTTCTTATTTATAGTTATTTGACTGTTTTGTTTCAATATGATAAAATAACAATTAAATAAATTGATTTTTAACAATTTTTCAAGATATTTCTAACAGAGTACAATTAAAAAAAAAATCCTAAAGAAGGTTGGAGGTTATACTTTAATAATGCAGATTATTAAATAAGTTTATGCTCCGTTTCTTTCTGATTCAGTCGTGTAACGAAGCTACTGTATTAGTCACAAAAACGCAAGTTCAATATAAATCTGTTTGAGTGAAATTGTATCTCAGAACACTCCAAGAAATTTGTACCTTTAGTAAAATGCTCTCATGCCCAGAACATCTACCATTAAAAATAAAATGCACACTTTGAATGCAAAACAAATATTCCGACATAAAGCTCATTTTCATTATTTCTTAAAATATGTAAGTACATACCTTAAACATATTATTAGGCAATTTTCCAGTTATTTTCCACACGGGACGTATGAAATTATTTACTATTTTTGTTAAACATGTGCTTAGTAAATAATCCATAATAATTTCATACCAGAGGGGAATATATAATAATTGTTATATTCATATTGATAAAAGCTCACGTAAGAAAAAAGAATTCTGCCTTTCCTTGGATTTGCCCAATAATTTAAAAATATATCTTTTAATGCATAAAATAATTAAAATTAATGATACATTATGATATATTTTTATTTACCTTAAATAGTTTTGTCTGCTATTCTAAATAACATTAGTATTGAGTTAGCAGTTGACACTTTAATTTGTTAACAATGATTTATGTAGAAGTAATAAAAAAATGCTTTGAAAAATGAAGTAAAAAGGTAACGTACAAAAAATATTAAAGAGTAGTAATCCTTGTATCTGCAGAAATAAACAAAATAGTTTTCAAAGTATATAAGATATTAAATAAAATTTCAGAATATTTTTTCTTCAGAGAGTAAGTAATAAATTAACAGTCCTTTAGAGTGTTTAAATTCAAAATTCCGTACATTTATATTTTCCGTAACTATTTTTTACATAAAATAATTTTCTTTATTCCAAGACTTATATAATCTACTCAGTTGGAATAGAACCTATACATTATTATCAATTCCATTTAAGGTACTGAAGATGCTTCTTAACTTTGAAGTAAAGCAATCACTTTTCAAATTACCTCATTTAAATTATAAAGTGCGAAATCGAAGCCATGAAAAGATACATTTACTTACAATGAAAGAACATATTTAAACACACAAAGTCACAGAGTTATTTCCAATTTTCTATTCAGAAATTAGTTTAGAGTTAAATTTAAAATTACCCTTTCAATAAAACTGTGATTTAAACTTTAATTTTATTTTGAGCTTTTCGGAACTTCTCACACTAGTTTCAAGTGCTGTATAGTAGTTCTAAGCAAAAAGGAATTAATCTTTTGTAACTTTTTTTTACTTAATCATTGTATTTTCATTTCTGCATCTAAGGTTATTAGGATTCAAGAATTCCAATTGAAACAGAAAGCACAAATTCAGCAAGGATAATCTGAAAAATAATACTGCTGTCATGAAATATACTGTTCTAAGGAAGTGTTCAGAAAGCGAAGTTTTAATATGCATACGAGGATCAATTTGAAATTTTTTAGATACGTACAGACAAGAAGTGGATTAGAACTAACAGTTGCATTTTCAAATATAAACTATATCTTCCTAGTAGACGATCTTCAATTGGTTAAATTGAAAGCAATTTTGTCTCGCATAAATTTTGAACAGAAAGGAAAATGAAGTAATCTTTTGATCGAAATTATTACTTATACAAAATTTATGAGCATTATTTGCTGCATGAGATTTTTAACTGCTGGAAAAAAAATATTTAAAAAAATAGGAAAGAATTATAAAAAGGAAAACAATCACGAGATTAACGGGATAAAAATAGCTGAAAATCTCATTTCAAGTATTCTTAATACTAAATCCTTTCTTCGAAGACAATACGCGATTTTGTGTAAAGAAAGATTTTTAAAGCAGATGCCTTAATAGGTAGCGAAATCCTTCGATCGATGAAAACCAGCTGTAAAATTTTAATAGAATACTTCAAACTCGATTTTTTTTGGTTTAAAATACTATTTTCTATGTGCTGAAAATGGTGTTCTCTTACAGCAAGCTTATAATGAGCATATTTTATTTTTAATTTCTCACTTGAATCCTTGAGATCATGGCTCACAAAGCATGCTTCCTATATCACTGTTTCAATGATTTTCAGCAACAAAAATTAGAATAGTAAAAATAAATTAAATAAACTGATACTAAGTATATGGCTATTATAACTTTACTAGTTAAACTAGGTAATGTTTTCTGGATAAAAACAAACACAATATGCAAATTTATGAAATAAATCTTGCATATCAGAAGATATCTATCCGGTATAATTGAAATTGATTCAACATAACTACAAATTCACTGCACACAATTAATTCATTTTTAAACTTCTTATAATAAATTTTTCATCTAATTACACCATCTCTTCATCCATTAAATTTCTATACAGCCTTACATCATCTAATAAATTTCCATAAAATTTTGAAAGTTAGCCGTTAATTTATACGCCCAGCTCACCTTTTTAAGAAACAAAGCCTAATACTCGTGATTGCAACAAACGCCAGGAAAAAAAATTTGTGGAGTTGTCAATTTATTTATATTGTCATCATATAAAGATTCCTTTCTTAATTCGTAAAAGTACACCTCTTTCCATGGAGGTTTCAGCATTAGGCTAAGGACACAGTTCTCGAATTCGAACCTAGCAAAAACCATAGAACATTTTTTTTCGTATTCCTTCTATTACATTGGTGACCACAAACAATGGACACCACGCAACTTTCCTATTTTTCGACAGATGGCTAAATTACAATATTTCAACTTGTACATGGTTCGGCTTGATTTGACAAGCACACCGTTTCTGTCTAAAGCAATGTCAAAGCCCAAACTGATGACAACTTTTAAGAGGATGGTATTTATTTACAGTCTGTAACCTTATATTTTTGTAGAAAAATCTTATTAGCAGACTGTCTTATCAGTTTGCGGGCTTGTCAGTTTTACAGACATATATATATATATATATTTATGGTCAGTAACTAAAATATTTTTTAACTAACATATTAAAATACAGGTCACAAACTGTAATCTAGTGGATAAGTCACTTTTACATAAACTTTTTCAGTGGAAAAAAATCGCTAGGAACAAACGTTTGACAGACTGTATTTTTTTTATTGCATTACTTTTACAAGAACTTTTTTTGAGAAATAAATCGCTAAAAACAAACATTTAACTTATTATGAACTTTTTTACGGTATTGATCATTTCCACGTTAGAACTTTTATTCAGCAATACATAAACTTGATTTTAACATTTCACAAAACATATTGCTAAAATCCGTATTTGTTTTTAACATATAATTCTACTTTCTATATCTAAACAGGTTTGGTAAATTAACACTATTAATAGCTTCCTCTGGTTCAAAAAAATAAATCAAAAACAAATACGAATGCCAGTTAATAGCATTTCTCTTTTCGTTTACATATGTTGAAGTAAACATGTTCTTAAAATACTCAGTTTTTTTTTTTTTTTTGCCCATTTTTAACACCTTGACTGATATTACATGAAAAGTTTTGAATGACATCGGAAACAATGATTTCTCTTGTATCTGGTTCTGTTGATAAATTAGATGAGTAATTTTTTTATCGGTTATGAGATTTTGATAGTATAATTATGTACTACTATAATTATGTACGAATAAAAAACTTCAGTATACTTCTCATTACTAAAATTTTCTAAGGAAATTTTCAGCCTGCGGATTAGAAAATTATATGAATATCATGAAATTTGAACAACTGAAGCCACTTCAGAATGTTGTAATTCTGAATAGTTTTTTTATTTTTTTATTTTCGGTTCTAAAACTCCAATCACACAAATATTCAATAATATTAATAATTTTTTTTAATGTTTTATTCAAAAATTTACAAAAAGCGGTACTCTATATGAACAATGTGAACGTAAGGAAAGTATGCAAATTTAGTTTGACAGTTGGATTGAAATTTCAATCATATTAGCTGAATATTTAGTTAAAAATTAAAAGTCAGTAAATATTTCATTAATTTAATACACGCAAACCTATATCAAAACCAAAACCGGTATTAGTCTACAGAATTTTGCTTTACGCAAGCAATAAAATGGACGTTTCCTAGGATTTGAAAAAAAGGGGGTTGTTCTTACAATTAGATTGTACGTTAATTTTCTCTATAAGAGGAGAGGTTGCTTAATATACTCGTCAATATACTTTATCAATAGAGATAATTAGTCCTTTTCAGATCTGTAATTCAGTAAGACTTATGGGATATCTTATTTTCCCGCTTATATAATACCTGTTATTACCATTCCACATAAAACACGAAACTGTTACTAAATAATATCGATGTTAGATGTTAAAGTTGGGTTAATTACATTTAGAGTTGGGTTAATTATATAAAGTTCCTTACAATCAAATTCTTCGGAAAACCTAGGTGGTGTTTTGCTTTCTAATTCGGTTGCAAACTTATAGAATTTCAAATTACAAATTCAACATATTGCCAAGCTTTGCAGGACAAGTATATCTCATTATATAACTTGATATTTAAAAGCAAAGCGCAAAAAGAGTGTGTATGGTATACAATGAGAATTTAAATTATGCAAGTGAAGAAAAAATTTTTTAATCGTATTCTTACCGGCCTCTAGTATGTGTTATATCCCTTCCAGATGGCGTCTGCCACGTAAGTCGTGTTGCTTCACTTGATGGGTCTGATAAACATGTAATGAAAAAACTGTCTCCAGTAAAATAAGCATAGAATTCATCTGAAGGCTCCAATCTTAAATGACCAGAGAAAGTTCCTGGAAAGAAATTAATATTATAGCCATAAGTTACGTAAAAAATCTGGGAAATTATTATAGTTTTCCAAAATATCTGTGATACGTAGGCAACCACGAAATTGTGTTAATTGAAATTGTTTTAATAATCATATAATAGTTTGGGCTTTCTTCTGCATGCATTGATATGTATATATATATATA